TAATGGTATACAAAACATTAATGTAGTTGATTAATCAACAATTGCAAAAGCCAAATACCATATCCATAATTGTAAATGTACATTTATGGGAAACCATGATGTATTGCCTTTAAGCAATGAGTTTAAACAACAGGCATAAATATTTCTAAAATTCAACACTCTAAAACAAAAATCAATTAAAACCTTATCAGGCTTAAGAATATGTATCTTTTGATAGAGTTAAGCTTCACACCTTAACTTTTTTTTCTGTTGTCCTGCATTATTTTACGGTACGTTGGGGTACTGCAGGGGATACGTGAGATTTAAAAAATAATAAAAAGTGAATCAAAAAAATACCATGCATGATTACAAAAATAATCTTAGTACAATAAGTTAAATAGAAAACACAATTTTATATAAAATATTCCTAGAACCACCAAGGGGGTCCTCATATAAACATGTCAAATGTGTGTATTGTATTTTATAGTTTTGCATAATATATTTATTCATTGGTTTATTCATTGGTTCATTGGTTCATTGGTTTGTTAAACAGATATTACTTCAGTTGAAAAACTCCTTGGAAAAATCAGTTTAAATTGTTATTTTTTTTCATGCATAAAATGAAAATATCCTTAGTTTGTTGTAATGCATGCATGAAGGAGGTAATACATCACAAACTGAGGGAACATCACTATATTGGAATTATTTGTATAGGCTTTTTCGATCAAAAATGTTCGGGGTCGGTCAGAGGGTACTCGGCTGAGAAAATGTTTCAAAGGGGGTCCACTACTGAAAAAAGTTTGAGAAGCACTGGGCTACATGGTGTACCTGCTGCTCAAATTGAGCCCTGTGCTGTTTTTCACCTTGTACATATATATTTTAGTGCACTCATATCACATTGTTTATATACTTAAAATAGCATAGTTTAATTGGATTTTGGGTAGTTAAAAACCAAAAAACAGGATTAGGATCACTTTGATATCCGATCAAATCAGGAAATCAAATCCAAGCTTTAATCTGGATCAAATCTTCAAAACGGGTAGTTCAAACCGACAACACAGGATTGGGGTCAGTTTGATCCCAACAACTGGATTATCCTGATCCCACCAGAGGGGTGGATTTCCAGTGGATTACAAGAGCAAAATGTACTGTACAATTTATTGTTAAATATGTTTCAATTTAAATTAGATGGCAAAGTTTGAAAGAATACACAATGTTTATGGTGGCCTATTTTGGTTTCACCAAATGTTGATGACATAAATGTTTATGCTCATAAAAGTATCACAACAAAGATTGTCAATCACAAATGTAATTTAGATTAAAGAAAAAATATCTTCAACAAAAAGAAAGTCCATCATCTGTCATCACCTTTCAAAAGTAATTGCGGACAATAGATGTCTCTGCAATGTGGTCTCTTGTCTTCCTTGTATTATTTTTCATATTTTAATGTAGCCTTTGTTTCTGCTAACAGAGGTGTTGACCAGCTGGGGCAACAAGAAAATTGGCGTAATCGAGTGTGACTATTAAAAAGTAATCATTATTATAGTAATATTGACAATAACAACCGACCGTCGGGTAGCATTTGCTTGGCATTTCCGGGTATATCTCCACTGGTTGGGCCATGTTAACAATACCGTGTAACTGTCACGTTGGAAGGGACGAAATCGTGACATCTTCACGTCTCCCGGCATGGTAAATCGTCACATGTTCACGTCTTGCCGTGACACCGGGTTGCTTTTGATAGAGTTAAGCTTCCCACCTTAACTTTTTTTCTGTTGTCCTGCATTGTTTTACAATGATTATTTTTGGTCAAACTGCAGATGTTTTGAGATGTGCCATGGAAATAAAGTTTGCATTGCTTTGAAGTCATGTGTGTTGAGTCATATACAGTAGTCATAATATGCCATTGTCAATGTCAATTCATAAGACTCGAAAACATAGTTCAGCAATTGGGTATTTATTTGAAACTCAATCACTTTTCACAAAACATCAGAAAAGGAGACTTCATGATAATGTAATGTTGTTACTGAATGAAGACCAGCTCCTTACTGCTAACAACAGTGGTCTCTTCTCTGGAGGCTTTCTGGACAGACACGTCTCTCCCTGTGTAAAATACATTCCAATGGTCAGTTGCTGTCAGACTTAAGGTTGAAAAAGACACAAGATGACATCAGACATCATACACCTTTGGTGAAAACATGTTCAGCTTTTTTGATTTTCAAATCATCTGCCATACACTTAAAAAACATGACTCTATAGTTTACTGTTTGTCACAAGTCTGCTTTATGTCTCCAGATTCAGAACTAAACATGGAGAAGCATCGTTAGTTATTGTGCTCCAAAAATCTGGAATATACTCCCAGAAATGTGAAGGTCAGCTGCAACGCTTACTATTTGAATCCAGGCTAAAATACTTTCATTTTGCTGCTGCTTCTAATTGAACTATTCATATCTTACACTGCACTGTAACTTGTATGCATGTATTTCATACCTGTGTTATTCTATATTAGCTTGTTTTATGTTTATTTTTAAACTCTTGCTTTTTAATGACTGTTTTTTAAAGCCATTTATAATGTGTTTCCACTGCACTATTTCTTAATGCTATTAATGTTTTTCATTTTGTAAAGCTTTGAATTGCCTTGTGTTGAAATGTGCTATATGAATAAATTTGCCTCACATTGTGTTCATTTTACAGACTTCAGAGAAAAATAAAATTGGTGGTTTAAATATTTTCACAGTGAATAGTAAGTACTTTTCCCACAAAGGTTCCTGAGAACTACGATTTAGTTGCGTTCACACCAAAAAGTCCCAGGAACTAAATTAGTTCTAGAGAACCTTTTTTACCCCCTTTTCAGTCCCTGCAGCCACATTCACACCGCAGGACTTTCCCTGGTACGTTGGTTCTTTAGTTCCGTTAGTACCAATAATGTCGCGTTCACACCGCCGGGACTACTCAGTGCCGGGAACTCTTTTGGCAATTTTCAGTCCCTGCTAGAGAGGTGGTACGAACCTGGTGATAAAAGAGTGCCAATTTCTATTCTATTTCTATTGGCTGGGCGAATTGCAAACCACGCCCCGTTAGACTTTTTTTTTTAGGCAGCCATTTTTTTCCTCGCTACAAAACCACATCCACACCTGAGCGAGTAGTTTTTTTGTACTTTAAAGCAGTTATGACCACACGTAGACCTACTACAACACCGGAGCGGTGGAATGATGAGTTTAAACAACAGGCATAAATATTTCTAAAATTCAACACTCTAAAACAAAAATCAATTAAAACCTTATCAGGCTTAAGAATATGTATCTTTTGATAGAGTTAAGCTTCACACCTTAACTTTTTTTTCTGTTGTCCTGCATTATTTTACGGTACGTTGGGGTACTGCAGGGGATACGTGAGATTTAAAAAATAATAAAAAGTGAATCAAAAAAATACCATGCATGATTACAAAAATAATCTTAGTACAATAAGTTAAATAGAAAACACAATTTTATATAAAATATTCCTAGAACCACCAAGGGGGTCCTCATATAAACATGTCAAATGTGTGTATTGTATTTTATAGTTTTGCATAATATATTTATTCATTGGTTTATTCATTGGTTCATTGGTTCATTGGTTTTGTTAAACAGATATTACTTCAGTTGAAAAACTCCTTGGAAAAATCAGTTTTAAATTGTTATTTTTTTTTCATGCATAAAATGAAAATATCCTTAGTTTGTTGTAATGCATGCATGAAGGAGGTAATACATCACAAACTGAGGGAACATCACTATATTGGAATTATTTGTATAGGCTTTTTCGATCAAAAATGTTCGGGGTCGGTCAGAGGGTACTCGGCTGAGAAAATGTTTCAAAGGGGGTCCACTACTGAAAAAAGTTTGAGAAGCACTGGGCTACATGGTGTACCTGCTGCTCAAATTGAGCCCTGTGCTGTTTTTCACCTTGTACATATATATTTTAGTGCACTCATATCACATTGTTTATATACTTAAAATAGCATAGTTTAATTGGATTTTGGGTAGTTAAAAACCAAAAAACAGGATTAGGATCACTTTGATATCCGATCAAATCAGGAAATCAAATCCAAGCTTTAATCTGGATCAAATCTTCAAAACGGGTAGTTCAAACCGACAACACAGGATTGGGGTCAGTTTGATCCCAAACAACTGGATTATCCTGATCCCACCAGAGGGGTGGATTTCCAGTGGATTACAAGAGCAAAATGTACTGTACAATTTATTGTTAAATATGTTTCAATTTAAATTAGATGGCAAAGTTTGAAAGAATACACAATGTTTATGGTGGCCTATTTTGGTTTCACCAAATGTTGATGACATAAATGTTTATGCTCATAAAAGTATCACAACAAAGATTGTCAATCACAAATGTAATTTAGATTAAAGAAAAAATATCTTCAACAAAAAGAAAGTCCATCATCTGTCATCACCTTTCAAAAGTAATTGCGGACAATAGATGTCTCTGCAATGTGGTCTCTTGTCTTCCTTGTATTATTTTTCATATTTTAATGTAGCCTTTGTTTCTGCTAACAGAGGTGTTGACCAGCTGGGGCAACAAGAAAATTGGCGTAATCGAGTGTGACTATTAAAAAGTAAATCATTATTATAGTAATATTGACAATAACAACCGACCGTCGGGTAGCATTTGCTTGGCATTTCCGGGTATATCTCCACTGGTTGGGCCATGTTAACAATACCGTGTAACTGTCACGTTGGAAGGGACGAAATCGTGACATCTTCACGTCTCCCGGCATGGTAAATCGTCACATGTTCACGTCTTGCCGTGACACCGGGTTGCTTTTGATAGAGTTAAGCTTCCCACCTTAACTTTTTTTCTGTTGTCCTGCATTGTTTTACAATGATTATTTTTGGTCAAACTGCAGATGTTTTGAGATGTGCCATGGAAATAAAGTTTGCATTGCTTTGAAGTCATGTGTGTTGAGTCATATACAGTAGTCATAATATGCCATTGTCAATGTCAATTCATAAGACTCGAAAACATAGTTCAGCAATTGGGTATTTATTTGAAACTCAATCACTTTTCACAAAACATCAGAAAAGGAGACTTCATGATAATGTAATGTTGTTACTGAATGAAGACCAGCTCCTTACTGCTAACAACAGTGGTCTCTTCTCTGGAGGCTTTCTGGACAGACACGTCTCTCCCTGTGTAAAATACATTCCAATGGTCAGTTGCTGTCAGACTTGAGGTTGAAAAAGACACAAGATGACATCAGACATCATACACCTTTGGTGAAAACATGTTCAGCTTTTTTGATTTTCAAATCATCTGCCATACACTTAAAAAACATGACTCTATAGTTTACTGTTTGTCACAAGTCTGCTTTATGTCTCCAGATTCAGAACTAAACATGGAGAAGCATCGTTAGTTATTGTGCTCCAAAAATCTGGAATATACTCCCAGAAATGTGAAGGTCAGCTGCAACGCTTACTATTTGAATCCAGGCTAAAATACTTTCATTTTGCTGCTGCTTCTAATTGAACTATTCATATCTTACACTGCACTGTAACTTGTATGCATGTATTTCATACCTGTGTTATTCTATATTAGCTTGTTTTATGTTTATTTTTAAACTCTTTGCTTTTTAATGACTGTTTTTAAAGCCATTTATAATGTGTTTCCACTGCACTATTTCTTAATGCTATTAATGTTTTTCATTTTTGTAAAGCTTTGAATTGCCTTGTGTTGAAATGTGCTATATGAATAAATTTGCCTCACATTGTGTTCATTTTACAGACTTCAGAGAAAAATAAAATTGGTGGTTTAAATATTTTCACAGTGAATAGTAAGTACTTTTCCCACAAAGGTTCCTGAGAACTACGATTTAGTTGCGTTCACACCAAAAAGTCCCAGGAACTAAATTAGTTCTAGAGAACCTTTTTTACCCCCTTTTCAGTCCCTGCAGCCACATTCACACCGCAGGACTTTCCCTGGTACGTTGGTTCTTTAGTTCCGTTAGTACCAATAATGTCGCGTTCACACCGCCGGGACTACTCAGTGCCGGGAACTCTTTTGGCAATTTTCAGTCCCTGCTAGAGAGGTGGTACGAACCTGGTGATAAAAGAGTGCCAATTTCTATTCTATTTCTATTGGCTGGGCGAATTGCAAACCACGCCCCGTTAGACTTTTTTTTTTTAGGCAGCCATTTTTTTCCTCGCTACAAAACCACATCCACACCTGAGCGAGTAGTTTTTTTGTACTTTAAAGCAGTTATGACCACACGTAGACCTACTACAACACCGGAGCGGTGGAATGATGAGGAAGTGTCGGCGCTTCTGGCAATTTACTCTGAGGACGGGATGCAGCAGCTTCTACAGAAAGCAGTTCCCAACTCCAAATATTTTGAGCGATGTTCGCAAAAGCTACTTGAGCTGGGAATCGTGCACAGTGCACACGGATGCCGGGTAAAAATAAAGAAACTCAGGCAGGACTATAAAAAAATTAAAGACCACAATAATAAGAGTGGTAACGATTTTCTATTGTTATTATATATATATATATTGCCACTGTTTTTGAATACTGACACCTAACTTGCACTAAGGTGTGTCTGCTGCTATATATATTGCCACTGTTACATTGTTTTGAAACTACTTACACTTTATTTTACATTTCACACTTTTATTTAACTTCAATTTACATGCATACGACACACCTGGAACAGCGTGATGCCGTTATTGTTATGTCTTGACTGTGCAATAAAACAAACAAACTGGCGAAGCTTTATTTATTGTGTCCCACCCTTTATATATACAGTCTATGGTCCCACCCCAAATTTGCAGAATAGAAGAATGTGAGAGCAGACAGGTGTCGGTGGTTGAATTTATCTACAATGTTGCAACCTTGTGCAGCAATGGCACAGGCAGAAACACAAGTCTTACACACATAAACAAAAGTAATTTATCATGTCATTTGTTTTAGATAAATAAGGGAAAAACACCAAACAAGGGTTAATGTCCTTTTCCAAAATCAGCCTGAGGGGGTAATATATAATAAATACATAAAGATAAAGTCCATTGTTATAATGGGGTATTTTATTTGTAAATTACCCTTATTACCCTTATGAACTCCATCATGTCTGAGGTCGGAAAGTAAACAAACGAATACAGCGGGTTGGCTTTATACCCCCTCCCCCCGTGTAGTTCTTCTTCTCTCGTTTTTTTTTCTACTCGCCGTGAAGTGGTTTTGCGGCCTGCCAGTAAACCCAGAGAAGAAGAAGACGAAGTGACGTCAGGGTAATCTTGCCTCAGGGAAAGTACTGCGGTGTGAATGCGATTGGCACTAGGAGTCCCAGCAGCTTCTACTGAAGCCAGTCCCTAACTCCGGGGACTTCCGGCCGGGGATTTTGGGCGGCAGTATACGCCGTGAAGTTATTTGCGGCCTGCCAGTAAACCCAAAGCAGAAGATGAAGAAGTGACGTCAGCGGCTTCATTTGCCTAATCCACCCCCAGGAACTAATTTCCGGTGTGAACGCGATCTGTACTTAGTTCATGAGAACTAAAGAGTTCTCAGGAACCTTTGTGGGAAAAGTACTTGGTGTGAACGCGCCTATTGTTATACTTACTGCTTCTGAAGCACCTAGGTTCACAATTGTCTCCGACAGACGGTTGACACACGGCTGCTTCACAGTGGATATACACCTGGTCAAAAAACGTTACATATTATTCGTAATTATGAAGGTTATATGACAAAAAACATATACAAACTAAACTTGACAAAAGCCTTTGTCTTAGATAGTTAAATCTTATACCTTTTCGTTGAGAGGAATTAAAGCCTGTTGCTTTACACCTCCACCGGATACAAATGTGAACATCTTGAAAACAAAACGCCTGTGATGGGTTGGGTACATGAGTCCTGATGAAGCGTCCACAGGGACCAGAGCGGTCAGATAGCGGTCATCATGGTATGGGCAGCTATGGCAAAGAGAGTGAAGAATAGGTTTTGAGTATAGCCTCGTAGAAAGTTTTATAAATGCCTATTTCCAAGTAAAATCAACATTCACTCTTACTCATCAATCAGCAAGTCCCATTGAGGGAGACTTTGAGGGTAGGGATCCGAAGTTGCCCAGCATTTTCCAAGAGTCAATTTAATGTTGGGATCTGTCCTCTCCAGAATATGGACTTCCACATACACAGGGTCTCTGAGAACCTTTGTGACGGGGTAGTCAGAGTCAACGTAAAAGGAGTTGTAGGCCACATCCTCTGCTCAAGCAAAACAAATGTGGTTAGTGCACAGTCACTGCCGAATGAGACTGACAGCACACCATATGTCCTTTACACTAACCTTCCACACATCCCTTGACTGAACACTCTCCATTGGCCAGCACTAGCTCCACGCGCAGGGGTCCTGGAGCTGCCACTGGGGGTGGTGGAGGAAGTATGCTAACCTCGATAATTAGAGCCTCAATTGCGGTGCCAATGTATCTACACTGGACAAGCAGCCTGAGACAAGATATAAGGTCTATGTTAGTCAGTTAGTCAGAAAAGTATTGAAGTGCAGTTTGTCATATCACAATGAACTAACCCCAAACCATTGTAGAGAATTCAAGGTAAATTCACTGTATTCTATTGATACCACTGATTTGTCTGAATACTTGAGGCCTTAGCAGAGAATTAACTGAAGTAGCAACAGAAGTAGTCATCTTTCATGTTGTGACCACTCAGAGTTAAACAAATACAAATAAATACTCGTATTGACTGTCCCTGGTGATGGCTCCGTTGGGTCCAATAGAGACTTCATAAAAGGAGGACATCCGGTTCTCATAGATTATAACGCCAGGCTCCTCCTACAGTAGGTTGGCAGTATTTCAGTTTTAATTACTACCCAACGAAAATGTATACTAATGACATTATACATTTAAATTAGTCAAAATCCTTACCATCATGACAGTGCCACAGGCAGTGACAGGGAACTGGTAGATGGCAAAGGCGGAAGTAGTGCCAACAGGATTGCAGGTTTCGCCACCTCCAAGGAAGAAAACTGTCTCGACATCGAGGTTAGGTAGGGTGGCGTCTTTGGCCACCACCACGATGAATTGACCATCCTTGGTGCACTGAAGGGTCACTGAAAACAACACAATTACAAGCAAAGACTATGGATCATGCTATACTCATTGAACACATTGTAATTACTAGAGATATACATGTATTTCTTTGAGGAGTAAGAAAAACACTAACCAGATTTTCCATAATAGCACATGTTTCCACCATAGCAGCAGTTTATAGCTTCACAATGTTCAGTAGAGATTCCAGGAGCTCCACACGGTATCTTTTGATTTTCAGCAACTTCACAAGTTTGCTGAGACTGCTGAGGCTGATGAGGCTGCTGATGCCACTGTGGCTGTTTAGGCTGCGGAGGCTGCTGAGGCTGCTGAGGCTGCTGAGGCTGCTGAGGCTGCTGAGGCTGCTGAGGCCTCTGTGGCTGTTTAGGCTGCTGAGGCTGCTGAGGCTGCTGAGGCTGCTGAGGCTGCTGAGGCTGCTGAGGCTGCTGAGGCTGCTGAGGCTGCTGAGGCTGCTGAGGCCTCTGTGGCTGTTTAGGCTGCTGAGGCTGCTGAGGCTGATGAGGCTGCTGAGGCTGCTGAAGCCTCTGTGGTTGTTTAGGCTGCTGAGGCTGCTGAGGCTGCTGGGACTGCTGAGGCTGCTGAAGCCTCTGTGGTTGTTTAGGCTGCTGAGGCCACTGTGGCTGTTTAGGCTGCTGAGGCTGCTGAGGCTGTTTAGGCTGCTGAGGCTGCTGAGGCCTCTGTGGCTGTTTAGGCTGCTGAGGCTGCTGGGACTGCTGAGGCTGCTGAAGCCTCTGTGGTTGTTTAGGCTGCTGAGGCTGCTGAGACTGCTGAGGCTGCTGAGGCTGCTGAGGCCTCTGTGGCTGCTGAGGCCTCTGTGGCTGCTGAGGCCTCTGTGGCTGTTTAGGCTGCTGAGGCTGCTGAGGCTGCTGAGGTTGCTGAGGCTGCTGAGGCCTCTGTGGCTGTTTAGGCTGCTGAGGCTGCTGAGGCTGATGAGGCTGCTGAGGCTGCTGAGGCTGCTGAGGCTGCTGAGACTGCTGAGGCTGCTGAAGCCTCTGTGGTTGTTTAGGCTGCTGAGGCTGCTGAGGCTGCTGAGGCTGCTGAGGCTGCTGAGGCTGCTGAGGCTGCTGATGCGGCTGAGGCTGCTGAGGCCTCTGTGGCTGTTTAGGCTGATGAGGCTGATGAGGCTGATGAGGCTGCTGAGGCTGCTGAGGCTGCTGAGACTGCTGAGGCTGCTTAAGCCTCTGTGGTTGTTTAGGCTGCTGAGGCTGCTGAGGTTGCTGAGGCTGCTGAGGCTGCTGAGGCTGCTGAGGCTGCTGAGGCTGCTGAGGCTGCTGAGGCTGCTGAGGCTGCTGAGGCGGCTGAGGCCTCTGTGGCTGCTGAGGCCTCTGTGGCTGCTGAGGCCTCTGTGGCTGTTTAGGCTGCTGAGGCTGATGAGGCTGCTGAGGCTGCTGAGGCTGCTGAGGCTGCTGAGGCCTCTGTGGCTGTTTAGGCTGCTGAGGCTGATGAGGCTGATGAGGCTGATGAGGCTGCTGAGGCTGCTGAGGCTGCTGAGGCCTCTGTGGCTGTTTAGGCTGCTGAGGCTGCTGAGGCTGCTGAGGCTGCTGAGGCTGCTGAGGCTGTTGAGGCTGCTGAGGCTGTTGAGGCCTCTGTGGCTGTTTAGGCTGCTGAGGCTGCTGAGGTGGGTTCCATTTAGGGGGAGTTTTTGGCTGCTGGGGCTGCTGAGGCCTCTGTGGCTGCTGAGGCCTCTGTGGCTGTTTAGGCTGCTGAGGCTGATGAGGCTGCTGAGGCTGCTGAGGCTGTTGAGGCTGCTGAGGCTGCTGAGGCCTCTGTGGCTGTTTAGGCTGCTGAGGCTGCTGAGGTGGGTTCCATTTAGGGGGAGTTTTTGGCTGCTGGGGCTGCTGAGGCTGCTGAGGCCTCTGTGGCTGTTTAGGCTGCTGAGGCTGCTGAGGCTGCTGAGGCTGTTTAGGCTGCTGAGGCTGCTTAGGCTGCTGAGGCTGCTGAGGCTGCTGAGGCTGCTGAGGCAGCTGAGGCCACTGTGGCTGATGAGGCTGTTGAGGCTGCTGAGGCTGCTGAGGCCTCTTTGGCTGTTTAGGCTGCTGAGGCAGCTGAGGCCACTGTGGCTGATGAGGCTGCTGAGGCTGCTGAGGCTGCTGAGGCTGCTGAGACCACTGTGGCTGATTAGGCTGCTGAGGCAGCTGAGGCCACTGTGGCTGATGAGGCTGCTGAGGCTGCTGAGGTGGGTTCCATTTAGGGGGAGTTGCTGGCTGCTGAGGCTGCTGAGGTGGGTTCCATTTAGGGGGAGTTGTTGGCTGCTGGGGCTGCTGAGGCGGGTTCCATTTAGGGGGAGTTGTTGGCTGCTGGGGCTGCTGAGGCAGCAGAGGCAGCTGAGGCCACTGTGGCTGATGAGGCTGTTGAGGCTGCTGAGGTGGGTTCCATTTAGGGGGAGTTGCTGGCTGCTGAGGCTGCTGAGGTGGGTTCCATTTAGGGGGAGTTGCTGGCTGCTGAGGCTGCTGAGGCGGGTTCCATTTAGGGGGAGTTGTTGGCTGCTGGGGCTGCTGAGGCAGCAGAGGCAGCTGAGGCCACTGTGGCTGATGAGGCTGTTGAGGCTGCTGAGGTGGGTTCCATTTAGGGGGAGTTGCTGGCTGCTGAGGCTGCTGAGGTGGGTTCCATTTAGGGGGAGTTGCTGGCTGCTGAGGCTGCTGAGGCTGCTGAGGCTGCTGAGGCTGCTGAGGCTGCTGAGGCTGCTGAGGCTGCTGAGGCTGCTGAGGCTGCTGAGGCTGCTGAGGCCACTGTGGCTGATAAGGCTGTTGAGGATGCTGAGGCAGTTGAGGCCTCTCTGGCTGTTTAGGCTGCTGAGGCAGCTGAGGCCTCTTTGGCTGATAAGGCTGCTGGGGCTGCTGGGATGGGTTCCATTTAGAGGGAGTTGTTGGCTGCTGAGGCAGCTGAGGCCTCTCTGGCTGTTTAGGCTGCTGATGCTGTTTAGGAGGCTGAGGCTGCTGAGGCAGCTGAGGCAGCTGAGGCCACTGTGGCTGATGATGCCACTGTGGCTGATGAGGCTGTTGAGGCTGCCGAGGTGGGTTCCATTTAGGGGGAGTTGCTGGCTGCTGAGGCTGCTGAGGCTGCTGAGGCTGCTGAGGCTGCTGAGGCTGCTGAGGCTGCTGAGGGGGGTTCCATTTAGGGGGAGTTGTTGGCTGCTGAGGAAACTGTGGCCACTGAGTCCGCTGAAGCTGCTGAGGCTGCTGAGGTGGGTTCCATGTAGGTGGAGTTGTTGGCTGCTGGGGCAGCTGAGCCCACTTTGGCCACTGCAGGGGCTCCTTTACATTTTGAGCATCAGCCAGACAGCCAAGCAGGGCAACTGCCAAAAAAGAAAAAATCAACTTCATTGCATTGGCTTCACAGTGAACTGATTCGAAAGGAACACCAACTACTGTGGAATAAAAAATTGTGCTTTGCTGACTTTTATAAGGTTGGCCTATTGGTAATGTTGACGATGAGGACTCACATCCTATTTGCTACCCATAACTTCCAATCACAAGCTCCAGTGACTGTGGTGTGTGGTGATGCACTAAGGAGATTTAATGGATTGCCAAACAAGAAATTTCAGTGGACAAATAACATGAATTCTAGAGATATTGCATCGGAAGATAATAACAGCATACATGGTAGTAAACTCACTGTTGCATTAACATGAATATGTATTGATTAGTATCCAACCCATGCTTAAGAACCCCCTGATTGTCATTGAGCGTGAATGTCAGAATTTCCAGATTGTTTGTACAATACCAAAACAAAACCTTTCACAGAGTTTGTATGACCTGCAATGTGCAGGTCATCATGTATTTGGGCAGCAGGGCTCGACTAAACAAATACTTCTTCCTATCTTATTTGCCATTGATACAAACATTTAACTGAATTGAGGAGCGTCCATAAACAACTATTATAGCATGCAGATATGTCAAATGTAAAGAAATGAGTTAAATTAGTGGCGTGTGCATATACGTCAAGCATTTCAACATTCTCTAGATGGCTGGATTCATGTAACATATACTAGCAATTTATATATTTATAACATTCATGTCTGAACATCTTATTTCATTGAAATACTAACACATTTTCTAAGAACTTAGCTGGGGAAATATTGTGGGATTGGCACACTTAGTATTTCCTGTCAAACATAGAAAATTGTACGCAGATTCAGATCAGTCTGTACTTGGTTGTTGGCTGCTGGGGCTGCTGGGGCTGCTGGGGCTGCTGGGGCTGCTGGGGCTGCTGGGTCTGCTGGGGCTGCTGGGGCTGCTGGGGCTGCTGGGGCTGCTGGGGCTGCTGGGGCTGCTGGGGCTGCTGGGGCTGCTGGGGCTGCTGGGGCTGCTGAGGCTGCTGAGGCTGCTGGGATTGCTGAGGCTGCTGGGGCTTCTGGGGCTGCTGAGGCTGCTGGGGCTGCTGGGGCTGCTGAGGTGGGTTCCATTTAGGGGGGGTTGTTGGCTGCTGGGGCTGCTGAGGTGGGTTCCATTTAGGGGGAGTTGTTGGCTGCTGGGGCTGCTGGGGTTAAAATAAGGAAAAACATGTCATCCCTTGACCTCTGTATTTTTTTTCAATTTGGAGAAATATTCTTTCGCAGGAATATTTCATTTATAAACTCTTTTTACTTCTCAAGAGCACCAATCTATTTGATCTCTATGTAAACACAGTAAAGGTCATTTAGAAACATCAACCTGGAGTAGGACCATATTGTTTTGCAACTCTCCACAACATGTACTTTGGCAAAAATATTGAGTTTGAAATTCCATGTTGAGGGAAGGTTGACCTAACCCAAGGTCAACATAACTTTTTGTGACCAAGACCTTTCATTTTCAAATGAAATGGGTCGGCAAAAGGCGGCCCGCGGGCCATTGTTGGCCCGCCAGCAATAATATTTGGCCCGTAATTTTGAGAATCAAAAATAAAATATTATTTTGAGATTTAAATTTTTTTTTTTTTTACAACATAGCAACGTTAGCTGCCGATCGATCGGCCGCCGGTCATTATCGGCCGATATTCACTCTTTATAGTTTGATCGGTGCTCTCTATAAAGGCCGATCAGGAGAGCTGGATCTGATCGATATGGACATAAACGCAAGTGAAGTATAACCGGACCCGAGAGAGAGATCAGATCAGCTGCTGAGTCTGACAGAGACAAGCAGCTCTGCATAATCACCTGAAGCCCCGCCCACTGTTTAGCGAGCTGCATGAGAAACTGACGGGCTGTCAGAGAGAGAGGGAGGGAGAGGGGGAAAAGAGAGCATCCGTTTCTCCCGTGTTATTATTCAAAGTTAATGTAAACTTTTGAATAAGGTACTTCATCTACTACAAGTAGTTTGTTTGAATGTAATAATGATGTTTTTTGTTGTTTGTGGAATCATTTATTGAAAAATGAATCTGAACTTTTCGATCTGTAACGATTATAAACTGAAGCAATATAAAAATGAGCCCCATTAACTGAGTTTTAAACATCAGTATATCCGGTCATAGTCCGGTGATTACCTGCTAACGGAACTCTGCTACACCATTCTTATTATTATTATTGAAACATGACCGGTGAGTTTCAAATTTGTCCGGTAAAATAAATTCTGTCCCGACATATCCGTTTACATTCATATTGTCAGCGGAGGGAGGGGAAGCGGCGCTGTGGAAGAGCAGAGTGGCGAGTGAGAGCTGTCATCTTCCCTTTACAAGCTTCAAACATTTATTTATCGTGTGATTTTGGAAATAAAAATGTCATATTCTGAAAGCCAAGACTTTGTGTATTTAAAATCAAACAAAACATGAGCTCGGGTCCGAAAATGCTATATATGTACCAACAGTGCTATATCTGAAGTGTCATTCATGAAACTATTAATATTCCATACCCATCTGACCGGAGGAAACTTGGCTAACTGACGATACGAAAAAAAAAAGTTTTTCGAAAAAGAAGTCTCACAAGAAGCCTCTAAATGAGCCCATGTCAAAAACGGGCAATTGCTATGTCTGCTCATAACTCACAAAAACGATCATTTATAATTCATACTTTCCGCACAAACAACACATTTTCTGAAAGCTGAGATTCCACAGATTCCATGGGTATACACCCCATCACTACAGGCACAACATTAACCGAGCTGGCAGCCAGAACATAGCAAGTAAACAATATCAGTTTTCAAATCCATGACAATAATTAGGTCTTACCTTGGCTGTTTTGTGATCAAAAGTTGTGTTCAAAGGAATAAAAACGCTGCTCAGGGTTAATCCAATGTCTCTTGTCACTTTAAAATGATTACTGATAATCAATTCTTTCATTCACGGCAGAAGAGTAGGTCCAACGATTAACAGTCCGTGGCTTCAGCTGCTCTATATACATATATATATATACATATATATATATATATACATATATATACATACATATACATATATATATATACATACATATATACATACATATACATATATATACATATATATACATACACACATATATATATATATATATATATATATACACACATATATATGACAGACAGAATATTAAATATTGAACAGATTATATGAACCCCGTCTCACATAATTTACACGGTATACATTTTGAGTGATATAATGTTATTTCACACACTCAAAATTGATGTTCTGCTGTTGTTGTAGAGAAATTATTTCTGATTTGAGTTACATTTTTGAAAGTACAAGCCAGAGAATTAATCTATTTGTTTTTTCCACATTTGTTTTCACAGTGAGGAAGGCGATGAGGATATGGCTTCTGGATGCCCGAGTATTATGGGGAAGATGCCACCAAGGTCAGGAGGTGCTGCAGGAGGTGCTCTGATGCTGGCAACTGAAGGGTGAAGACACCTGTGTACTGCAGGAAGTGTCAGGTCCCTCTGTGCTTCACTACCAAAAATAAGTTTTACAGGGCATGGCATGACTTACTGGAGTAATACTGTAACATTCAGGGTTTGTATAAAGTTTTTTTTTTTACCCAAAAAATGCTTGTTGTATAGTGTGTTGCTAATTTGTTTTAATAAATCTGCTCCAGTTGGAGTCAAATGTTTCCTAAGTTTCCTCATTTTTATTGTGCAAGTAACATGCATCTCATGCAAAGAGGGAACTTCCCACACACACCACACACACACCCACTTATTTATTTTATTTTATTTTTAACAATAATATATATTTTTTTTTAATGGAATGAATACCTATAGTGATAATTAAATGTTGTACAATGATTTTTACAGTCTGGTACCTGAAAAAGGTTAAATGGCACTGATGGAACCAAATGTACCCAAATGTGCCCAAAGCTTAGTCCGCTTGGACTTTTTTTTGCTAAATCTCTCTAAAAAGGTAAATTCTCACTTGTTTTGCCTCAATCTTGATAGAGGGTACTTATTATATGTTATACTTTGGATTCCTAAAGCTTTTAGGCTACTACTCCATCATTCAAGGGTGGTTTTTTTCACTATAAGTAATGGGTTTTATTTGGGCGGAGACAAAAATGTACACTTTTTGACTATGTTCCATCTGGATTTACTCTGACACTGAAACATCTTTATTGATTTTGACACTTCTACATCCAACTCACAGATGTGACCTTGCTTTGATAAAAGAAATTATTCATTTAACCCTTTTAGAAGTTAAGTTATAGTCCTTTGTTTTGGGCATGTCATTTTCGAGCTTGAAACCTGAAAAACAGGCTGGGGCTTAAGAGGTTAAATTGCAAAGCAAAACATGCTGTAATTGATTTATTTTGTCCTTTGGTATTTTTTAAAGGTTTTCAACCTGAAAGAATCCTAATATGTCCTTGAAAAGTTGAAATAAAGAAAAGTAACAAGGATTCCAGTTGTCCATGCGTCCTCTGTTGTCCCTCAAGCCTCTCAAATGTGGTCAAACACTCAAATAAATGCCAAAAACCCAGAGAACTTGACAATAGGCCTACTTATCAGAATAAAAGTATGTTAAATAACACTGCGTTAATAACTCTACTTTACTCAGTGGAGGCTCGTCCATTGAGGAAAGGGAGGACCATCCTCCCTACAATTTCAGAGAAAAGTAAACTTTGAAGAGAACAATAAATAGGCTACACCTCAATTTAAAAGATAAGTCTGTTAAAATACAGATAATAGCCCTGGCTTTGGGACTGAAATGGGGCTAGAGAGGACGAGCCTCCCTTTGGGCGGGTCTAGCCAGAGGCTCTGGATTGGGCGCCTATATCATCAGTGAACCAATCAGCGGATCTGACTGCGCATCAGAGTGTTGATGGGGAGGCTTATCAGCGATATCAGAGTTTTTCCTGAACCGGGGAACAGGGGCGCTGCGCCCTCTTACCAAAATCAATTCCTTGAATTAGGCTTTGATTATGTTCTGGCCCGCCATCTTGCGGCTCAGCAAAAAATTGGCTCAAGGCCAAACTTACTTGCCTACCCCTGCATATGCTAATATTTGTTTCATTTGGCTTCATTACAATCACATTTGTGTCAGCACATCCACAGTTTTGTGTTCATAATACTATTTATTTATTTATGCTGCTTGTATATTTTCAGCATAGTATAAAATGTTATGCATTAAAAATAATCCATCCATCCATCTTCTCCCGCTTTTCCGTGGTCGGGTCGCGGGGGTAGCAGTTCCAGCAGAGAGCCCCAAACTTTCTTTTCCCTGGCCACATCAACCAGCTCTGACTGGGGGATCCCAAGGCGCTCCCAGGCCAGCGAAGATATATAATCCCTCCACCTGGTCCTAGTTCTACCCCTTGGTCTCTTCCCAGCTGGACGTGCCTGGAACACCTCCCTAGGGAGGCGCCCAGGTGGCATCCTTACTAGGTGCCCGAACCACCTCAACTGGCTCCTTTCAACGCGAAGGAGGAGCGGTTCAACTCCGAGTCCCTCCCGGATGACTGAACTTCTCACCTTATCCCTAAGGGAGACACCAGTCACCCTGTCGAGAAAACCCATCTTGGCTGCTTGTATCTGCGATCTCGTTATTTCGGTCATGAACCATCCTTCATGACCATAGGTTAGGGAATGCTCCGGTATTGGGACAACATTAACATGGGATCACACCGGTCATTGTACGTACTTCGTCTCACTGGAATATTAACGGTCAGATTGAATACCACATCGACCCAATTTCTCCGGTCAATGACGGGAGAGTTTTGAAAGTGACAAAACACTGTTTTCACGCATTTAAAAACACTTAAACAATTAAACAATGTTTACCCAGGATTCAGGCACCTTCCCTGGCTTGTAAAATGTGGTGATGCGCCCTGGAGGTATCAGACTATTTAAAACATGTATACCCATGATTCAATCACTTTTCCTGGCTTGCAAAGTGCTGTGAAGCAGCCTGTTCTCTGGGTGCACTCTGGGTGTGCATGGAGGGGTTTAGTCCGAGTGAGGAGTGCTCAAGTGTGGGAGGATGTGTAATGCAGAGGAGGGTAAAAAAAAAGTTAAAGTGTGAACCTCCAGCAGGGCAGGTGGTGCTGTGAATAAGGCCGAATATTGATGCTGGTGTGCGGACAGTAAAGCACCACAAAAGCCATTACCTTTAAGTGTTACCAGGGCCATGAGAATATCCTCCACAGGAGGGTGGGTGGTGCTGCTGTGAATAAGGCCGAATATGGAGGCTGGTGGGCGGACAGTAAAGCACCACAAAATCCACCTCCTTTAAGTGTTACCAGGGCCATGAGAACATCCTCCACAGGAGGGTGGGTGGTGCTGCTGTGAATAAGGCCGAATATGGAGGCTGGTGGGCGGACAGTAAAGCACCACAAAATCCACCTCCTTTAAGTGTTACCAGGGCCATGAGAACATCCTCCACAGGAGGGTGGGTGGTGCTGCTGTGAATAAGGCCGAATATGGAGGCTGGTGGGCGGACAGTAAAGCACCACAAAATCCACCTCCTTTAAGTGTTACCAGGGCCATGAGAACATCCTCCACAGGAGGGTGGGTGGTGCTGCTGTGAATAAGGCCGAATATGGATGCTGGTGGGCGGACGGTAAAGCACCGCAAAATCCACCCCCCCTTTAAGATAACCAGGGGCATGAGGTTCTGTAGGGTGTGAACATCTGGGTTTAGTCCGTGGGGGAGTGCTTAAGTCCGGGGGCCCGGGGTCTCACGGTGTGCAATGTTATGGAAGTGCGCATGTTAGGGAGAGATGCTGGAGCTGCTTAGTCCGTCGTTTGGGGCTCTGTGAGGGGCTACAAATAGGTGATTTGCCCGGTCTATTTCATGATTTTCGAAATTCTCGAAAAAATGGCTAAGTGCCAACGGAGGAGGGGCTCAAAAAAGCGCAAGTCTTCGGCGCTTCCGGCGGAAGCCGCGGACACATTTTCACTCCCCCGTTGCATTTTACAACGGAGAGGGGAATCGAGACCTCCCTTCCTCCGTCCAAAAAATTCATTCATCTTTTCCAAGCTACCATCTGCACGAAATCGGAAACCCGGTTTTTGAGAGCACTTAGAAAAAAAAATGGCTGTTTCACATCATGGAGGAATGTGTCCGCTACATGAGTGCTTTGGCTCGGATACAATTGTTGCCTGGAGGACCCCAATCATGGTTCTTACCAAACTTTAAGTTTTTGAACTGGTCTCTGGAGGAATTCAAGGGGAGTTGTCAGGGAATTATGAGACACTATTTTGGGATACAATTTCTCCATTTTCACCCCTTCCTCTGGTTCTCCCAAAAGATAACTTAGAGTTTTCCTGACTCTGGAGGAATGTAAGGGCAGTTGTCAGGGGACTGTATCTGCATTAAGAGACACTATTTTGGGATACAATTTCTCCATTTTCACCCCTTTTCTCTGGTTCTCCCAAAATATAACAGAGTATTTCCTGACTCTGGAGGAATATAAGGGCAGTTGTCAGGGGACTGTACCTGCATTAAGAGACACTATTTTGGGATACAATTTCTCCATTTTCACCCCTTCCTCTGGTTCTCCCAAAAGATAACTTATGGCGCGTTTCCACTGCAGGCCTCGCTCGGCCTCGCTCGGCCTCGCTCGGCCTCGCTCGGTTTGGTTAGGCCTTATTAGGCCCGGCTCACTTTAATGCTGCACTTCCATTACAGTTTAGGAACTGGGGCAGTTACTATAGTAACGCAGTGTAGGCGGAGCCGTGACGTCATCTTCAATGAGAGCCCCAGAAAAACAACACAGCCGTTAGCTCTTAGCACTCAGAGCTCACAGCTCCTCATATCTGTTCAGAAACTAGACAAAAGTTAAACAAGTACAAACCACAGACTGCCTGTATCATGGCGAATACAGTCGCTGGTTTATTTATGTCTGTATAGGCCGTTGTTGTGAGTGTGGACGGTCGGAGCATATATAACGTTAGCTTAGCCAAGCTACATTTAGAAAACACGCATTTTAAAAGGGGTTTTCGCCTGCCGTCTGTCTGCAGACTTGTCAAAGCATTAATTCATGGTTTTTACTAACCGGTATCAGTATGTTGTTACTTCGGCATCATTTTGAAACGTGTATTACAATTAAATCACAGTCAAATATGTTCATCTTGTTGTAGTTGTAGCCCCCTTGCCAGCGATTCTCTCTAGTTTAGCATACTCAGCCCGACTCAGCCTGGTTGTTCCCTAGAACCACGATTTAGTCGGGCCAGAAAAAAGGTGAAAAAGTAGCCCGGGCCAAAATTAGGCCAAGTGGAAACGCAACCACACGCTTAAAGCGAGCTACCCGCTGCAGTGGAAACGCGCCATTAGAGTTTTCCTGACTCTGGAGGAATGTAAGGGCAGTTGTCAGGGGACTGTACCTGCATTAAGAGACACTGTTTTGGGATACAATTTCTCCATTTTCACCCCTTTTCTCTGGTTCTCCCAAAATATAACAGAGTATTTCCTGACTCTGGAGGAATGTAAGGAGAGTTGTCAGGGGACTCTATCCACCTTAAGAGACACTATTTTGGGATACAATTTCTCCATTTTCACCCCTTTTCTCTGGTTCTCCCAAAATATAACAGAGTATTTTCCTGATTTTTCACTGATCGAATGAAAAACGCGACCCGCCATCGGAGGGCCTCCGCCGGCCCGGCCTCGTGCCGGTGCTCTGGCGGTCGGTTCCTCCTAACTGCGGGTGCTCCGTCCTGCGTTTCACCGGGACCCGGCTCCAACACTCGGAACTCTGACTCCAGCGCGGTGTGGCGGCCTTGCCCTGGCCGTCCACCGTGCGCCCTCCGGGTACCTGACTCCCCTGCCTCCTCCGGGGGCAGGTGTGAGGGGTTCAATGCCTCCTCCCCCCGCTGCGGCGAATGCCGGAGCGGGATGGAGCGCCCGGAGGTACTGTTGTCCCCACGTTACCATGTTGTCTGGAGGATAGGACCGAGAGATGACATACTCTCTACCCGGGTTACAAGTCACTATTTTTGGACCCTTTCTTTGCTTTACCCCCGGTATGGATCAACTCTCCTCAACTCAATCTTCTTTCCCAGCCCCCCGGTTCTCCCTACTGACGCCCGGTTACGGGTCAGTTTGTGACTCATTTGCTGGGTGAGAAACATTAATTGAAGCCTCGGATATGAGTGTCGGCCTGGTACTTTGGGGCACTCTGACTCCAGCGCGGTGTGGCGGCCTTGCCCTGGCCGTCCACCGTGCGCCCTCCGGGTACCTGACTCCCCTGCCTCCTCCGGGGGCAGGTGTGAGGGGTTCAATGCCTCCTCCCCCCGCTGCGGCGAATGCCGGAGCGGGATGGAGCGCCCGGAGGTACTGTTGTCCCCACGTTACCATGTTGTCTGGAGGATAGGACTGAGAGATTACATACTCTCTACCCGGGTTACAAGTCACTATTTTCGGACCCTTTCTTTGCTTTACCCCTGTTCTATCACTCTTTCCTTCTTTGACCATAAAACGTGTTTCCTGCTGGGGTACTGCCTGGTTCCGGGGCACCCCAAACCCTCTCATGGTCGGGGCACCATGAATTGATGCATCGGACCCAATGTTGCCATCACCAGCCCCGCGTTGGTGCGGAGGTGGGACCATTTAGCCAAGTGGTAACCCAAGTCCTCCCTTGGTCCGTGTACCAGGCATTGAAGCATCGAACCCATTGTTGCAATCACCGGTAACGCTAACGCATATAAACGGAGAAACACAAAAGACTGAAATAATTGAAATACAATTCTCTGTTTCAGTAAAGATGTCGTCCGAATGCCCGGTGTGCAGACTTTTCTATCTGGCTTTGAACAAGCACCTTAAGCACAAACATGCAGTGCGTAACTTGGAGGAAAGAGGCATCATTCTTAAAATGGCTAGTGGCAGAATAAATGTTCGGACCAAACCCTGTCCCATCACAGGGTGTTCGTATGCTGGGAATAAACTGGACCGTCATGTGACTCATGGCCACCCTGAGTTATCCCGAGATGAAGCACATCAGGTCCTGGCAAGGCTGAAGCATAGTGTGGCCCTGCAATTGCTCCATGACCTCAGACAGACTAATCCCATCATTGGAATGGCTACATCATTGGATATAGACAATGAGGAGGAATACCCGGTGCACCCTCCACCCTTCTCCCCACATACTGAGTGTGACGAAGAGGACTGCAGGCAGGTGATGCTGGAAAATGTGGCATTGAGGGCTCAGAAGGATGCCCTCATTGATGAGGTGAAGACCCTGCGCTCCAGGCTGAAAAAGGGGCTAAACCCCAGGCAGCAGTGTGCCACCGCTGCTGTGCTTGAGGAAGAGGAAGAATGTATACGATTTAAGGGCCTGGCAATCTCAAGTACCTCCGGCATAAACACAGCAGCCTCCGGTAGTCAGACCCCTCTCAAGACCCCGGTCAAGACTGTCATGCGGTCTCCAGCAGCCTCCGGTAGTCAGACCCCTCTCAAGACCCCGGTCATGACTGTCATGCGGTCTCCAGCAGCCTCCGGTAGTCAGACCCCTCTCAAGACCCCGGTCAAGACTGTCATGCGGTCTCCAGCAGCCTCCGGTAGTCAGACCCCTCTCAAGACCCCGGTCAAGACTGTCATGCGGTCCCCAGCAGCCTCCTGTAATGAGGACTGGCCCTCTCCTCACTGGTCCACTGGGAACGGACGGGGGAATACCATGCGTGAAATCACGTTGCCTCAAAGCATGGAGACGTACATTCAGACATACAGGCATCATTGTGAGGGTGTCGCACCGACAGTAAAACGGAAAGAAAATTGTCTGTCCAATGTCAGCCGGATAAAGAACTTCCTCGTATTCATGTCCCATGGTGTTAACCGGCTGTCAGATTGGCTGTTCCTAAAAGACACGGAGAGGGTCCGTGGCTGGAGCGAGTATATTGTAAAGTCGGGCCGGGTAGTCACAACATCGCTGTTGTTCCTGAAGAATGTGAACCATTTCCTGAGGTACTTGTCTGAGTCAAAGCTCCGGGGGTGCAGGCTCACCCAGTTTGATATGACCCACATCATCAGAGAGGTGAAAGCCAACATGAAAGACTTGAAAAAGTCTGTCACTGTCCACCAGTTCAAGATGAAGAGGAACAAGCTGGATCGTCTGCCGAGCCAGGAGGAGCTTCTCGCCGCCATGGCGGCCGCTGAGAAGCGCATCCCTGATTTACTTGACCTGATGGCTTGCAACCCAACCTCAATCACCCAGTACCTGCTATATGGCTATCTAACCCTCCATTGGAGCCTACTGTATGGCCACCGTCCGGGTGTGTACGCAAACATGACCAACACTGAGGTGTTAGAGGCGGACATAAGGGGCACTGCAGAGGGCTACATCATCCATGTGCAGGATCACAAGACTGCCAAGACATTTGGCGAAGCACAGCTGGTGCTTACAGTAAAGGAGTTTAGCTGGGTCATGCGGTGGATGGGGATAAAAGAGGGCTTGTCGGGTCCTCAGAATGAATTCTTCCTTTTCACAACGGGGAAGCATGCCTCCAGGAACCTGAACGCTCACTTGAAGAGGGCTTGGGCTGATGCTGGGCAAGAAACAGCCGTCACCTTCACAATCCTACGCACTGCCCTGGCAGACAATATCAAGCATCACCAAGATCCAGAAAGCAGGTCGATTCTCGCCAGGTTTATGTGTCACGACGTAAGCACTGCAGACCGGTTCTACGCGAATACGCCTGGAATAAAGGAGGTATTGAAGATCCGCTCCATGTTCAGGGCGGCAGCAGCAGCATCAGCATCATCGGAAGGAGTTCTACCGATACCTCCGAAGAGTACTCAGGGGCGGATAGCAGCGATACCTCTTCTTCAGGGCCGGTTGATACTCCTGATGTGGGGGTAGAGGCCGTGGACTCAGCCTTTTTCCCTCGGTGCACCGTACAAGTTAGACGGCTAATATGGCCCCCCGCTAATCATGTTTTTATCATGTTATTATTATGTTTATTATGCATATTGTGTATACTGTTTTTGTAAAAATCATGTGATAATTAAATAAATAAAAAAACATTTTAATAACGTTTAAGGTTCCCAGGGGTTGATACAGTGCCAGGTATCAGACTATTTAAACAAAGTTTACCCAGGAATCAGACACCTTCCCTGGCTTGTAAAATGCGGTGATGCGCCCTGGAGGTATCAGACTATTTAAACAGAGTTTACCCAGGATTCAGACACCTTCCCTGGCTTGTAAAATGTGGTGATGCGCCCTGGAGGTATCAGACTATTTAAACAGAGTTTACCCAGGATTCAGACACCTTCCCTGGCTTGTAAAATGTGGTGATGCGCCCTGGAGGTATCAGACTATTTCAAACAACTTTTCCCCGCCTTTGAAACACTTAGTCCTGGCTTTTAGCCTGTCATTTTGCAATATATGATTTAACATTGAAGCTCTCCTGGAAATTGAGATATTCTGTCCATCTCCAGGAGAGCTTCAATGTTAAATCATATCTTGCAAAATGACAGGCTAAAAATATCTTCCAAACGTTTAAAAACATTTCCCCCCGACAATTTAAACATTAGTTCCGGCTTGTAAAGTGCAGTGATGAGCCCTGGTAGTATCAGACTATTTAAAGGGTTACCAGGGCGATGAGAACATCCTCCACAGGAGGGTGGGTGGTGCTGCTGTGAATAAGGACGAATATGGATGCCGATGGGCGGACGATAAAGCACCGCAAACTCAACCCCCCCTTTAAGGTTCCCAGGGGCACAAGGTTCTTGAGGGTGTGATCATCTGGGTTTAGTCCGTGGGGGAGTGCTTAAGTTCGGGGGCCCGGGGACCCAAGGTGCGCAAGGTTATGGAAGTACGCATGTCAGGGAGCGATGCTGGAGCTGCTTAGTCCGTCATTTGGGGGTCTTGGAGCGGCCACAGAGAGGTGGTTTTCGCGCTCTGTCTCCTGGTAGTATGAAATAGCCTGTTTGCTCATGTCAGGGAGCGATGCTGGAGCTGCTTAGTCCGTCATTTGGGGGTCTTGGAGCGACCACAGAGAGGTGGTTTTCGCGCTCTGTCAGTGTGAAATAGCCTGTTTGCTCATGTCAGGGAGCGATGCTGAAGCTGCTTAGTCCGTCCTTTGGGGGTCTTGGAGCGGCCACAGAGAGGTGGTTTTCGCGCTCTGTCTCCTGGTAGTCTGAAATAACCTGTTTGCTCATGTCAGGGAGCGATGCTGGAGCTGCTTAGTCCGTCCTTTGGGGGTATTGGAGCGGCCACAGAGAGGTGGTTTTTGCGCTCTGTCTCCTGGTAGTCTGAAATAGCCTGTTTGTTCATGTCAGGGAGCGATGCTGGAGCTGCTTAGTCCGTCCTTTGGGGATCATGGAGCGGCCATAGAGAGGTGGTTTTCACGCTCTGTCTCCTGGTTTGTCTATTTCATGGACACCACTCTATGTATTAACGTAAGGAAAAGGTCTGCCTTATGGACAGAGTTAACATGGGACTTGTCCTTCAAATGTACACATGTCCGCACAATGGAAATGTGACGTCAACTTCCAATGCAAAGTCCCTGCCACCGGCAGGACAAATTTGACCAACTGTGCCTAAACACATTCAACACTTGGGGGTGCTCTATGCATGTGTCTGAGGGTAAAATAATCATCATTCTGTATATAAATATGTTTGTCAATATCATGGACATTTCCTTTTAAATTGGGGTCCACGAAGCTTGACACAAGATACCTGCAGATAAGCACTCATCTCGGACTAAAATCCTCAATGCATAGCAGTTTTAATGGCATTTTTGTTATTCAGTTTTACCAGGGGCACGAACTTCTGACCGGTGTTCTCTCTTGGTTTAGTCCGTGGGGGAGTGCTTAAGTGTGGGTACACAGGTTTGCCTGGTGCACAAGGTTATGGAGGTGGGGGTCTTGCTGGTGCTCAAGTGTCCATATACATCACCCCATACTCTACCCGCCTTAAGAGACACTATTTTGGGATA